TGTCTCCTCCGATGACAACTCCGTGCTCGCCTCTTCCCAGCCTTCAATGATAATTATTAAAAATAATTCCCAAAAATAAAATTTATGGAAAGTTTGATTTTGAGACTCTCTCGCGTAAGTTAGTTTTATTTCTACAAACTAAGTATGCAAAAAGCTAATCTTTTATATTACTATAAAAAATTCAAAAATCAAAAAAATTATAATATTAAATATTCCCCAAATTTACTGTACGTTCAAAATCAATAAAGGGTTCAAAAGTAAAAATTTTTTAAAAATCACACTTATTACATTACCATAAGGAATTAAAAAGTCATTATAATTATTATAATTGTTTTGGTTTTCATAAGAATTCTAGTTTATGCAATTTGTAATTCAACATCATTAAATCCTCAAAATCAATTTATTTAATATTAAGTATGTATTTGTTGAGACAGCGCATTTAATAACTGTTAAATCTGTGAGTCCTATATATATTTATTGCTAGTCTTATTAAATTCAACAATTATTGAGAGACACTATTTTAGTGGTGCACTCTAACAAAAAATATACCAAAATATATATATTAAACAAAGATAAATGTGATTGGCATGTCTAGGGTTTTAGCTAGTCTTCAAAAAAATGCAATTAATGTCAGGTGGCAAGGTCAGAGCTTGCCAAATACCCTCAAAAACATTTTTAAGTCAACATTTATAAAATATTTTTTTACTATATAATATTTTACTTTGTAATAATGGTTATATAACTTTGCATGTGCTTGGCAGTAGGGACAAGCATTGGGATGTAAGAAAATGAATAAACAAACAACTACAAGTAGTTAGGGTGAAACACTCTCAACCCACCAACCATTTAGGTTAAATCTCCAAAAGCAAGTTAACCCTAAAAGAGAAACCACATCAAAAGGCACAGTTAAGGAAATGGCGGACGACTGGACCGGTCCAATCAAGAACCAGACCCCGGTTTAATCTAACACGCACTATGAATTAGAGAAGGAATTGAATACATGACGCGACTGTAGAAGAAATGCTAGGAAAGCCACCAAACCAGGAGCTCTTTTATGATGCTATCCACTCATAACGTATTTCTATTATTTTTGATCATTTAATTAAAATGTAATTAATTTTATAAAAACAGTTGAACCGGTTAAACAACCGGTTCAATTCTAAATTTCAAATTACAACGGTTTAAATTTACTCTATTTTAATCTCGTGTTCTGATTTATAATTTTTTCAAACACCCAGGAAATTCCTTGATAAAATACACTTCGTGATCTTTGGGTTGGAGATTTGTCTTTACTTTTTTGACCTTAACCCTTAAATTTTGGGAGTGAAAATGTTCTTACTTCTGCTCTAAATTGCATTTTCAATTCTTGGTTTGACTAATGCCATTAGCAGATTGGTTTTAATTCCATTGTCTAATCAATTTTGAACTGTAGCTGTTCTTCCAACTGCAGTTAAGGAAAGCCTGATTTGTTTTAAATAAAAATCAAAAAATAATTCCTCCACCCTCTAATTAACCTCACATGAGAAGTGTGCTCATTTTGTTGCAAAATTAGGAGTTATGACTCTTCTGCGCTCGTTCTGATACGTTGTTTTATATTAATTTCTAAAAGTAATATCATAAAGCATATAAGGAATAAGAGACTATAACTAACTTAAATTTTAGTATTTTGAGCCAATAATTCAAACATAATAAGTTATTAGAACTAGTAACTATTAGATCATTACAAATGTTATTCGAGTAAAAACGATATTCGAACATGTTCTTTTTTAATACAAATACAAATTTTTGATTTGATAAGAACGTCAAGTGTTTAAGTGAAAAGATTATGATATACTATCCTACATCAATTTCTGATAGCAATATAATATAATATATAAGAATATAAGATACTATTATTAAATAATTTGGCCTTAAATATTTTGAGTCAATAATTCATATCCAATAAATTGTTATGTTTAATAACTCTCAAATTATTTCACACACAAAGAGAGAATCGTGATAAGTTTAACTCATTCAACATAGAGAGAAGATTGTGATAAGTTTAACTCATGAAAATATTCATAAAAAAATAAGGTCAACAAATATATACATCAAAACTCCTCATAGTTTTCACGGACAAATGGTAAAATTACATATAATGTAAAATGAAGAGTTATTTGATACTGAGTTGTCAAATTAATATCAATGTTAATATCTAATAATAATTTAATGAATATTATAATTACTTAATCAGTTCTAATATCATATCAAATACCGACATATATATTTATTAATATTTGCTTCCAAAGATTGATTTAAAAGTAATCAATCATGTGGGGACCAATGGGAGGAAGGCCCATGTGATTTGATTAGGAAGTGTGTGTAAGTATTAACTAGAAAGACAGCCAATTCAGCGTATAATATAAGTGCAGGTGTTGCCACGCATTAACAACATTAATAATAATTTATTTTTAAAAATTTTTGAATAATGATTACCATATTAATGACAATCATAGTCTAATGCACCTACCACTTTTGGTTAATTAATTAATTAATCATTAAATTCTAACTTGGATTAATTGTTGCATTTGCATGTAATTAACCAGGACACTCAGGTCTACGTGACCATAATTATCCAATCTTCGTACCCATCTCTTATAGGGAGAACCTTGTTCAATCAAAGTCTTTTACTTCGATTATTTATTTACTTCTATTCGGCAGTTTTAATGCGGTGTAGTTTCTAAATTGCACAAATATGGAAGTGTTTGGTTGAAAATTACTTTTTGGTTTTTAATTTTTTTAATAAATAAAATTTTTATATTTTGTGAGAGCTGATTTGTTTTAAAAAAAATTGAGTTTTCTATTTAATTACCTTAAGAAAATTCATATATAAATGTGAAAAATTTAAAATATTTTTGATAAATTTTCTCTCTCCAGACATATTTTATTTGAACGTTAAATAAAAAATAAAGAAATTCTAGTGGAATATAAAAAAAGTAAAATTAGATTCTCGAATTTTTTAAAATTATTTCTATTTTTTACGTTAAATCAAATAACTTAAAAATTAGAAATTAAAAATAAAAAAATTTGTAATAAACAAACATCCCATAGTTAAAAGAACAAGATGACATGGAAAATCAAATAAATTTTTTAAATGCGTTTAGTTTGTTGAAATTTTAATATTTTTACTTATTTTGTTATGAAATTATAAAAAATAATTCTTTCATATATTTTGTTTGGTTTATTAAGAAAATAAACTCTTTTTTGATTTAAATTTCATACGAAATGAAAAATATATTTTTAATTATTTCATTGAGACCTTAAAATAAGGGTACAAAATTCAAATTTTTGGAGAAACATATGCATACAAGGTAAAGTAAGAGCATGGTCACTCAAAATTTAGTAACAGTACAAGGAAGATGAGAGAAAGCTCACATTTGTACGGAGACAACACAAACAGAGATTACTATTTGATTTTAAGTTTAAAATATCAAAAAATTAGAGTACCACCTGTTTAATTTTAAAAATTTAGAGGACCAGAATTTTGTAACTTATGTGTCAGAGAAAATATGAAAAACTACCTAAGAGTCAAGTCTCTGTTTGTAGATTTTTGCCAACTTAAAATTCCAAGTTGCCAATTAGCCAAAGAGAACTATTATGACATCCATCCGGTCCAAACAGGATGACACAAAGCTACAACCACGAATTGTTGGTTGTTCGGTAAGCAATTTTTATTCCGATAAAGATTGAGAATATAAATTTAAATTTTTTAAAAGTGTACTTATTAAAAAAATAATTTTAAAGTAACAATATGGTGATCCAAAATTTAGTAACAGTACAAGGAAGAGGAGGGAGCCCACGTTTGTATGGAGACAACATAAACAGAGATTACTATTTGATTTTGAGCTTAAAATATCAAAAAATTAGAGGACCAGAAGCTGGCGAAAATGTGAAAAACTACCTAGGAGTCGAGTCTCTGTCTGTCGGCTTTTGCAAACTTAAAATCCGAAATTGCCAATTAGCCAAAGACAACGATTATGACATTCATCTGGTCCAAACAGGATGACACAGGGCTACAACCAAGAATTGTTGGTTGTTCGGTAAGCAATCTCTGTTCTGACAAAGATGAGAATATAAATTTAAATTCTTTGAAAATGTATTTATTAAAAATAATTTTAAAGTAACAGCATGGTGACCCAAAATTTAGTAAGAGTACAAGGAAGAGGAGAGAGCTCACATTTGCACGGTGACAACATAAACAGAGATTACTATTTGAATTTAAGCTTAAAATATCAAAAAAATTAAAGGACCACCTGTTTAATTTTAAAAATTAAAATATAAAAAATTAGGTGAGTAGAATTTTATAACTTATGTGCTAGAGAAAATGAAAAAACTGCCTACAAGTCGAGTTTATGTCTGTTGGCTTTTGTAAACTCAAAATCTGAAGCTGGCAATCAACCAAAAGAACTGAGATGACGTCCATCCACTCCAAAGGATGGCACAGGGTTACAACCAAGAATTGTGGTTGTTTGGTAGGTGATTTATACTCCGATAAGAGCGAGAATACAAATTTGAACCTTTCAAAAGTTGACTTATTAGAAATGGCTTTATTATTTTATACTCTCAATTTGCAAAAAATCAATTTCAAGCCAAAATTAGTTTGAAAAAACTCTTAACTTCACAAAATATGACATAAGGAAGGCCACAGTCCAAAAACTATGACAAAAGGGTTGCATGGATTAAAATTAAAAAGTTAATTCTCGATTTGATTTCTACTTTATCCCCTGTTGTCAAGTTTACAACAAAAAACACCCCCAACAGCATTACATCATTCACAACGCTAAACACTAGTTCCCACTACCCAAATTAAAGATCAGAAGATCAAAGAAATAAATTTTTTAAAAAAAAGGGAAAGAAAACTACCAGACCATCCAGTTACTAAGAGTCCGGCCACAGCGACAATTAGCAAGAAGAAATTCACAGGCAAGTAGGAATTTATAACGTGTGATTTCTGACTTGTTTCAGCACTTCCAAGCAGAAGCTGAAATAAGCTCCTTCCTCTGCCAGCACAGCACCAGTAAGGTCTGCCTCTTCTCCACGTGGAACCCCCTCGCCGGCGTCCTCTTCACCAGGCAATCTGCCTGAGATTCGGTGAAGTTGCTGAACGTAAAAGGACAAAACCCAGAAGATAAAAACAGAGCCCTCCAGTGCGGCGTCTTCTCTGGCGACCGAAACCGGCCCGCGACGGTTTTTTCAATCCCCGGCTGAATCAGGAACCTCTCGATCTTCCTCATTTCATCTGGGTTTAAATTTGTAGCGTCGAGGGATTCCAGCAGGTTTGAATAAGATTGCAGGGCGTGAATCACGTGGTTTGCCAATGGCAAATCTGTTCTGTCACAGCCTCTGTCGACGGCGACCACAATTTTCGGGGAAATCTGCTTCACAAATCGGAGAATTACTGGGATGGAGAGTTCGTAGAATGAACCTATTGGGAGATTTACTGCAACTGCTTCGTTATTTTTGATGTGGAGAGGGAGAGAGTTTAACGAATCGAGGCAGAGGATTTGGAATTCAAGTGGGATGTTGATTTCGCCGGCGAAATGGTTGAGGTTCTCGCCGGCGAGGCCGAGCTCGAGCTGCTCGTGAGTTGGAGAGGCGACAGCAGTGATTCTCAGCGAGGCAACTCCGGCTGGTCTCACGGCGAGCTCCTGCATCAGGGAAGCCCACTGTCCACCATAGCCGATGTCAAAATCGATAATATGGATTCGATCAAAGCCTTCGAGGGATTCAAGAATGGCTTGGTTGCAAGTAAAATTGGCGAATTGGAGGATGGGGGAGACCTCGGAGAAGGACTTGTAAGCACCAATTTTCAGTACGAGGTTGAACGGCGAAGTCCCTGCGGTGGTCTGTTGATGGTGGATGAGTTTTTGCAGAGCTTCAATGCAGAAAAAAGCAGACCTGTAAAAGGGTTTTGCGATCAGAGCGAGCTGGTGATTGAGCCGCGCCAATATCCCTTGCGCGAGTGGAAAGTTCCCAGTTTGGATCTGCTCCGCCGCCTTAAACAGCTGGTCGACCACAGCCTGCTGCGGTGGAAGGTGGTGTGCCGCCTCTTCTGCCGCCACTTTCGGCTTCAGAAAAGGAGGCGGCAACGGAATCTGCTGGGAGAGACCCTGAGGCAATGTTGGGACTGAAAACGGCCCTCTTCGGATTGATAGATTATTGTCGGGACCTCCAGGATGGTGCCTCTTGGCTGGCAGCGGAAGGTGGTGCTCCGGCGGAGGTAAAAAGAAAGCTGGATTTGGAGTATGCTGAGCTTGGTGCTGGCTGATTAGTAGCTGGGGGTTCACAATATGCGGCTTCACGTCAGCGAATTCCGGCGCCCCGGAGAGCGAAACAGGCGTAAAATTGTCGGCCAATTGAAGGAACATAGGATTTGGAGGATTATTGTTGAATTTGTGGGGGTTCTGAGGAAACCCTGAAGTGGGTATTGAATAACTCACGGTTTCAGCAACTGGGTCTAACCCGACCGGATCCATGGCTCCGTGAAAACCGAAGTCCGCTGGAGGCCCGGCGCCTGTCTGGAGCAGCTTGTTAAGCCCCATTGCTGGGTCCTCCGCGTCACCCATGATCCATCGGAGAATCGACTGCTCGCTCTCCCAATCCTCCAGTCCCATCCCACCTTTCTCTCCAATTTGCAGCGTCGGCGAGCCCCGCCGGAGCTCCGGGCACTGAACTCCGACATTATTCGAGCCGTTGGTTGGGCTTTGTCCCGACACAGCCACCACCCCGCCGTGTCGCCGCTGGGTGAGGAAGACAGGGTGGAGGAAGAAGTCGGAGGACTCGGGCTTCCGATGGTATCCAGGACAGAGGTAGGCTCGTTACCAAACAAGCAACCTTCTCTGCTTTTCCACTTACAGAACAATAAATTTGAAAACGCAAAAGAAGAAGAATCTGCAACAGGCCCGAACACCCCCTTCCCCTGAAAATCAGAGGCTAATTGCATCCCTTCATCAAAAACAGACCAACAAATTCACAAATCAAAATCTCCCCAAACTCCTCTCCTCGCTCACTTCTGAAAAACCCAAAAAAGTGTTTTTTGAAATTAAATAAAAAGGGTTTCCGAAATGGATGAATAGGAAGCAGATCGTGGAGGGCTGAGCTTGGGCCACCCAATGGATGCCTTTTCTGACCCACAAAACACTTGTTTAATGCATGCAGCTGAAGAGACTCAATTCATGAAACTTCTCTTCGGCAAGCAGACATCTTCATCTTTAGATGTAGATACATATACACTATTTCTCTCTCTATGTGCCCCTTAATTCCTTTAACTTGCTTGGATTAGGCTGCTGTGATTGACCTCGGCTCTGCTCTCTTTGTGTTTCTCTTTCCTCAGAGAGCTATTTGTCTTCCTTCTGTTTCTGCCATGGATGCGTGCAACATAAAAAAGTAGTAAAGTGCCTACTCTCTCTCTCTCTCTCTCTTCTTTTTTTTTTTCTTTTTCTGCTTTTTCTTTTATTTAATTTGTGTGGCCTGTCTGTTAGATGTAGTTATCTTCCAGCTAGGGCCTCAGTCATTCCTCCAATTGCCCACACCGACTTCAAGCGCGTGCAATCTACACGCTCGCGGATTGGAATGACCATGGAGTCCGGTCAGGAACAGGATTTACTTGCACAAACACGAATGCAACCCAGTACGACAATTAATTATTGTAAATAGACAATTAAAAAATTTAACAAACATTTTAAAATATTTTGTAATCGACAAAGTAAAAATACGAAAAAAATATAAATCAGATAAATTAGTTCAAATTAAAAATTTAATTAAATATAATTATATTATTAATTTAAATTAATTTTTAATAATTTTTGTAAAAAATTAAAAACTTTGTCAAGATCAATAACAAGGAATTGAAATTAATTACTTATTTTTATATTTAAATTTGATTTAAAATTTTATAAAATTTATGCATATTAAGTTATATTTAAATCTGATAAATAACTTGAAATTCCCTAAAAAAAATTTGATTCAATAAAAAAATAATACTTTTTTTATTAAATCTATCAACTTTATTCTATTAATTATATTAATTTTTTAATTTTTTAATTTTTCAATTTAATCTTTTTAAATTTAAATTTATTATTATATATAATTATTAATTTAATAAAAAATTTTATTAAATTTTTAACAAATTAAATTACTTAATTTTATATTTAATTTACTTGTTTTAAATTATAAATATTTATAATTAAATATAATTTATTAAATATTTTAATTAAATTTAAATACAATTCAAATTAAAATTTAACCAACACTACCAACATTTCATTGCCGCCGTGCTCTTATCTGCAATATTTTTTTAATTCGTTTTCCGAAATTTCCAAAGTACCCTCTGGCCCGCCCACTCATCACCGGCAGAGGTGTGAAAGGGGAGTGGCATTGCAGTCATTTTACGAAGCTGCCACTGACGTCTTGGTTTTCGAAGCTGAATCTGACGAGACGAGGCTCTTTTTTTTGTTTGAAAAAATAAAATTCTGGATGTGTGGGGCTTAACTGAAAATATCGAGAAGATTTCGACGGACGAGATATTTTGGGGGTTGAGAGAGGGAATGCGTGGCTGTGATTTAAAGTGGGCTTGCGAGGGATTTCTATTGGAGTGCGGGCGGTTAAGTTGGGTGTGGACGGATGGATGGCATGGACAAGTTTTTTTTTTTTTTTTTCCTTTTTTGTGATAGAGAGATTTGGGTTTTATATGGATTGGCAAATAAGCTTTTGAGAAGCCAGCAAAAAGTTAAAAAGTCGCCCCGCTTCCCAAATGATTAAAAGAAACAAGTTAAGTTTAAAAAAATAAATTAAAATATAATAAAAGAGTTAAAAAATTATTAATTAAGACCATAAGTAAACATTAATTACATATTAAAATTATAATATTTTTTATAATAAATTAATATTACGAATTTGTCATATAAATTAATATAAACTATTATGTAATCTAATCTCATGACTCCTTTTATTAGTTTACATATTAATTTTTATTAAATTTTATGACTTTAATTTAGTATTTGATATTAATTTATAATAAGAGTTGTCAGGTTTTATTATATAAATTTAATTTTTCTGTAATTTTTTCAAAAAATTTAAAAAATTAAAGTGTAAAATTATTTTATATGCATGAAATTTTTATATGGGAAGACAATATATGACAAAGCATCTTCTCATTTTCATGATCTAATTTTTAGCTTTTATTTTACAATTTTTAATCCTAATTTTCTAGTAAAAAAATTGTTTTCATAGTTTTTAAAGTCTTTCCACTTTTGTTTATCATATATTTAATTCAAAATTATTTTATTTTTCTTAAATAGTTATTCTATTTTTACGCAAACCAATTAAGGTAATATTCACATGTAATGTTATATTTGTTGATATACGATAACTTATTAAGATAATCCTCTTATCGGCTCAAATTTTGAGCTGATGGGCTAAAAGTCGTTTGCAAAAGACCTGTTAGATTAAAAGCTGCTTCTTTCCAGAGCTGAGATTTCTCCTTCACAGGGGAAAAAAATGCTGAAGTTTATCCCTGAAGCATTATGCGAAAGCTTTTCATTACTTTCTATGTTAGGTGATACATATTATAATAAGTGATAAATACATAATATTGCTTATATATAATTTAATTTAATAAAAAAATATAAGCATGTTTCACATGATTAATTTTACTTTTTAATAATAATTATTTTTGATAAAAACCCATTTCTTTGGACTAAAAATAGAGACAAAGAGAGGAGGGGAAATAGTGAACCTGTGTTATGGTGCAACTTGTTAAAAAGCCGAACAAGCCACATCAGGGTGGAGTATTAGGGTGGAAGAAGACAAATTAAGGAGTGTGATAAATGAATAACTGATGGAGACAAGTTGACGGGGCAACAACTCCACTGACCTAAGCATTGCAAGGTAAAAGGTAAAGACAATAATGCACTGAAATTAATCTCATTCTTTTCACACCCAAAACTAACAATTTGATCTATTTAATAACAATTTTTTATTTTTAATATTTATTTTCTAAAAAATATTTGAATTTTGTCAGCGTAAATTCGAAAGCTGCAGAAGCTTAAGCTTGGCATGCTTTTAAAATTACAACTACCTCGATTCCCCATCAGGGTTTTCTCTCTTCATAATTTGAGATTGTAGACTTTTAAATTTACTCAAACTAGATTAATTATGCAGTAGGCCATGGTGATTATTGATAATTAATTAAAGGTTAGGTAAGGTTGTTCCATGCTTCTTAATTATCCTGTAATTTTAGATTGAAAAAATTTTAAATCAGAGTTTATAATTGTAGTTCCCAAAATATATTCAACCCATTTGAAATTGTAGTCAATGTGGTAGGGGTTCAAGTGTAATTTATGCTTAATTTGATTTTTTTTTTTCAATTACCAAGTAAAATAGGAGGGGGAAGGGAGCCCAATTTTTATTTTTCAGAGTTTTCTGGTTTGATGTTCTATAATTTGCCCTTAATTAGGATATAAAATTACATGATTTTAAAATTAATTAATCATGGTTCTTCATCAACAAGTTTTTAGTTAGACATTGTACTCATGTCCATGGACATAATTATCAAAATTGGATTGGACGTAACTCCAACTTTTATGTGGCTTAGTTGTCGGAAGTCTCAACTTTTTACTTGGGGCTGCCAGTTTGAACTCTAATAGATTGCATTTATTTACAATTTTACCAACTGAACCTCAAACCTATTAGGTTTTAATTCAATTAGTTAGTTTGATTTAATTTTGATAATTATAGTTATAAGTATTTCTTTTCAATTCTAATAGAAAATGAAGGTCTTAATTTACATTTTTATTCTTAAAATTTTAATTTATCACATTGTGTTTGTAAAATTTAAATCAGAATGTTAACATGTTGGGTTTGAATCAAATTAAACTAATCTGAATTTAAATCTAATTATTCATTTATATAACTGAATTAAATTTGAAATCATATAAAATTTATATTTGTTAATCCATATTCGACTTAGATGAATAATCCAAAATTTGAAAAAAAATCTGATTTAACAAGAAAATAACATTTGTTTATACTTAAATTTCTTACTTATATTCTATCAATCATATTGTTCTCTAAATTTTTTAATTTCTCCGATTTAAGCCCTATAAGTTTAAATTTATTTAAATTATATTTATGAGATTATTAATTTAATAAAAAATATTATTAAAACTCAGACTCAAATTTTTAACAAATTGGATTATTTAATTTCATATTAGGTCCATTTTTTTTCAAAGTATAAATATTTATAATTAGATTTGATGCATCAAATATTTTAATTATATTTAAATTCTAAAATTTAAATCGAATTTGAGTTAAAACCTGACTAATGAGTGTAAAAATTTTGCTATTATTCTTAGTCACTATGAAATGGGTTATCTTTAGCTTCATCAACAGTACTCGCTACTCACTTTTTCAAGCAAAACCAAGAATTGTAAGAATAGATCATGTTTCTTATATATATATATCATGATTGAAAAATCCCATGTACATTATGGGAACTTGAAAAGGGGGTGGTTTGGTTGCAGAGACAGGATCAAAGTTTAAGGTATTTATGTAGGAGGGAAGGGGAGACATGCTAAGTTTTGGCCTTAATAATTTAGGAAAACCATGGCTTGGA